AAGAAAAGAAACCTGTAACATATATACATATATACAATAATTGAACAGTTCGCCTGCTGTATAATATTGAATAATGAATTAGCTGCAATATCATAACATTAATCACACACTTAAATTAATCTAGGTTACTGTATGATCAATTAAAAAGGACTCAAAAACCCCATAAGTAATATGTAATGCTGCACATTGTACAAGGATGCCGACATCAGTGTCATTCAATAGTAGATCAAGTGATGCATCGAGATTACTATCATTCGTAAGTTCGAATGAGAATGACCAGTCATGTTTGTAAAGCTAGACACTCTTGGTAAGTCTAGAAAGTAAGTAACGTTACGTTTAAACAGTGTATAGATGATCTCAGCCAAGTCAGTCAGTTACCAGTAAAAGTGGCTGTCTGTCAAGAAACAAATAAGTACACATACTGTGCTTGTACTAAAGTGAAATAATATAGTAAAACAAGTCAAACGTATATACAAATGTTCGTTACACTGTTGGTTATCACATTTGTATCCAGAGCTTTAATTAATAGTCTATTTTTCGTCAAAGTCCACACAAACTGGTTTAATTACTTTAGAACTGAATTGACAAGCCGTATTATTCTTCTCTGCTCTGTTATTACAATACAGTCTGTGATAATTTAACTTTGAAAATCACCACTATACGCTAAATTCATAATCACACAGTCTAGATCTGAATAATATTCTTTCGGCGCTTCTTTATACCCAGATAGATGTATAGAACAGTTCACGCAATACTAGATATTCTGATGCAATAATACTTAATTAAAGAAAAATGCTTAGACTTACCTAAAAAATACTGAAATCCTTTGAATTCATTTTTTATTTAACAGCTTTACGACATTCCCTTTACTATTTGGAAGAAGCTTCTGAAAATGTGCAGGGCCCAAGCCAAGACATTATTTCTGGTGTTTCCCTAATAGAACAATGCTGTAAAGATCTGACTTCATTAATAATGAACGTGGATGATTATTCACATCGTATTGATCCGACATAGCCAGGTGATTTAGGCGTTTGACTCGTGAGCTGCAGGTCGCGAATTCGAATCTCCGTTCCATCAAATATGCTCGCCCTTTCAGCCGTGGCGACGTTATAATATGACGGGCAATCCCATTATTCGTTGGGAAAAGAGTAGCCCAAGAGTTGGCGGTGGGTGGTGATGACTAGCTGCTTTCCCTCTAACCTTTCACTGTTAAATTATGGATGGCCTAGCGCAGATAGCTCACGTGTAGCTTTGCGCAAAATTCAAAACAAATCACATCATATTTTCAAGCACAGCAGTAACATAGGAAACTAATCTAATATTAATGTTAGCATGCCACGAGTTAATGAATGACAAGCCCAACGTGCAAATGCAGAATATATTTTCGTAGAGGATTACTTTAAGAAAACAGTAACAATTCCTTTTCTTGACCACATTATCAGTAATCTTTCCTCCAGATTTGATGCATATATGAAGCAAGTAGCATTAATTCAGAAACTTATGCCATCAAACTCACACAAGAGTTTTCTGTCTCTGATACCAGAGATGTTATAGATTTTTACCAGGAAGATTTACCAAATACTGATATTTTTGAAGAAGAACTTCATCGATGGAAGACAAGATGGCTTTTTATACCTCTCGAAGACAGGTCCCAAATATTAAAAGCGTGCTTCAGTGTACCAAATATATTTTTATTACTGAATATCTTTGTCACACTGCCACTAAGTTTATGTTCACGCGAACATCTGCTCTCAGCCAGTTGAATAATTATTTGACGTGTACACAAACCGGATAAATATTGAGTGTCCTAGCTTTAATACATAATCATTATGACATTACTGTCAACATTGAAAGTATATGTAATTTTCTGTGGAAAAGCACCCCAGAAAAATGGAGCATGCTATCATGTTATTTCAGTAATGCATACATGATAGCCAATGAGTGAAATATACTATTGTTGTAGAGAGTTGTTTAAATTAGTAATGAAATTTAGCAATTAATAACTACTCTGCATGTAGATAGTGCAGTACTTTACTATAATAAAATAGACATTCTAATTTAGGTCTAGCTCCCCATGCAGTGTTACAACAGAATGATGATTTGTTGACTTTTCATTGATGTCTTGGATTTTATGTGAATAGCCATGCAATTGTTTAAGCTGGATTTCATGCAAGGTTGTTTCGAGATTTAATCTCATAGCACCTATTTTTTTTTGTAACTTTTCTGGTGGGCATGCCTCCAGACCCCGTAGCATTAATACACTGATTGTGCTTCGCACAATGTGTTGACTTTTCATCTCATAAATTACAACGTCAATTTCAAACATTCTGTTACAGGCCTGACTTGGGTAACCTACACACAGGCTACATCTCGATTGCCTTGATACAGTCAAGTTCTGCCATATATGAGCCATAAATCTCAACTCATTTATATTTTCATGCTCACAAAACAAATAATCACTGGCTGAATTCAGCTAAACTTATACTTTTCAGACGTTACATTGCAGAGTACGTCTGTAACCGCTAGCCTGCAATAATAAGGTATGTTTCTTACACGATCGGCCTATAGGCCACACACATTATGTTACTCAAGTTTCATCACAGGTACCTCTTTCATCCGTACACAATCTCAAATATTGTTTATTAAACGAAATGGTTCATTTTCCAATAGAGAAAGAAATGCAGCAGCATTTAGTTAAGTTTTGTATCTTTTCACGCCACTATTATTTGTTTGTCTTAATTTTTTCATTCTAACAAATATATGCAAAAAATTGGCATATGCTTCAACGCACAGGAGGTTACAAGCAGCTGTTATGAATAATACATCTTGCGTTAGCCCATTTATGAACTAAAAGAAATGGCCCGATAAGATATCTTTCTAAATTATTAAAATTAAAATGAATCTATAGTATTTATATTATTATTGTTTGAAGTGAAGCATAAAGTTACACAATGGGCTATCTGTGCTTTGCCCACTAGGGATATCAAAACTCGATTGCTAGTGTTGTAAGTCCACAGCTGTGCCACTGGGGACTATCTATCATTATATCTTATACCTGAAAAATTTGTTTCTTTTTGAATTTCGCGCAAAGCTACACGAGGGCTATATATATGTATAGAGGGAAGGCAGCTAGTCATCATCACCCACCGCTAACTCTTGGGCTACTCTTTTACCAACGATGTGACGGTCAATCCCACTATAACGCCACCACGGCTGAAAGGGCGAGCATGTTTGGTGTGACGGGGATTCGAACCCACGACCCTCAGAGTGCGAGTCGAGCGCACTAACCACCTGACCATTCCAGGTTCACCCTGAAGAAGCTATAAAGTGAAACGTTGAGTGTCCATTAAAGAAAAACAATAAATTGGTGTTATAGGTTATTTATTTCTAGTATTAAAATGTCTTCTGTACATCAATACTCACTACAGAAATTAAATAATGAAGCCTCATGATACCCTAAGAAAGATTTTGGAAACTTCCATTCCACATAAGGAAGAAAGAAGGTTCTATGGACAAGAGAGTGCGATACAGCAAATAATCCATAGTCTTGTGTAATATTTCTAAAATCTCGACAACTTTAGAAACATGAAATGTATAACAAAAAATGTGCGGATAGTTAAATTTTACATTTATTGACATCATTAGCTTCAAAACTTCAATCTTTTAAAAGTATATTCGCTAAAAATAAATTCAAAATGTAATCTAATTTTACTCATTTCCGGCTTTGTTTGACGTTTTGACAAGTTGTCTCTGTGGAAACAGGAAATTTATTTATTTACACAGACTGAACAAACAAAAGGCTATTAAAAATGCTATTTTTTAAATTAGTTCATACAGAACAAATATTTAAAAAACTATCAAAATAAAGTTTAAAACCTTAACATTTAAATTATAACTTTATTTTGGAGAAACTTTGTAGGGATACATCACAAATAATTTTTTAAAAGTTTATGCCGCATATTTTACCCGAGTGCGACACGAAATACTTGAAATAGAAAAGTTTAAATTAATCTTACTTCCCACTAACCCAGAGTGACTAGTCCTACTTATGACTGGACATTCCCATTCAAACTTAAGACAGATCGTAACCTTGATGCATGCACCACTTCACCTATCACTGTACGACACTGCTGTCGACATTCTTGCCCAATTTTGGGAATTAAAGTCAATATCATCCCATGGGCAGACCAGATAATACTTCAAGAGAATGACAAAGAACTAAGACAGCAAGAATGAAAGAAACTGAACGACATTTTTGACCACGTGTTATGATGAAACTGCACAAAGTGCACATATCAATTTCAAGAAAATAACAAAGAACAAAAGCAACATTGCTGTAGCATGAAGGAAAGAAACTTGACAACGTGTTATATAAAAATTGCACACACCAGACTAACTGACAAGTTTTAAATAGTACTGTATTAAAATAAGAAAATAGAAAACGCATGACATTTTTAAATACCACACTGGCCTTCTGACACATTGAGCGGAGTTTGATTTCAATTCAGAAAAGTTTGAAACATAAACTATATATATATATATATATGATTACATTTTACCCTCGGTGGCTCAATGGTAAATCTAAAGGATTGACCCTCACATTGGGTTTCGGTATTCATGGTGGGCACAGCGCAGATAGCCCGTTATGTATCCTTATGCTTAATTTTAAAAAAGAAACAAAAAATTATCATATATTTTTCTTAAAAATTGTAAAAACCTTCATGATCAAATTGTACTGACGTAAAATTTAATAAGCTTATTATATTGCTATTTAATAACATTTAATTACTCAACAGTGAATCTTGACTTTTAAAAAAACGAATATAATAATGTTTGTTACATTAGCTGTGTGCTGACGTAGTTCTGTTGAATATACATTTTTCTTAATTTAATTTTACCAGTTTTGCGTAGAGGTCGCTAATCATATTTGAATATAATAAAACGAAACGTATACGTAAATTACGTAATTGTACTTGTGCTGAAGTGGGTAGTAGTGGTTGAATTAAGAATCTGACGGAAAGGGTAACAATATTTGATGTTATTTTGATAGTTATATTTGTTAGTTAAACTTATTGTTTATCAGATAAAGTATCTGCAGTGAAGGCCTGTGCTGCTATTACACATTTAATTTGAATATGCTACTTAAAAATAAAAGTTATATATGTGGACAATTGGAATAAATACTAAAATAGTTGATTGATGTTTATACTAAATTATAATTTATACTTATAGTATTATTCGTAGCAATATAATTAAACCTCTGAATTTTTATACAACCGCTATAACTTGACATGTTAATTCTTTACACTTTAGTTTAGGCGAAGGCGGCTAAGATAGTAGGTGAGACGAGTCAACATCTATCTATCTGTGGCAGCCATAATATTAATGTAAACTTACTGTTAGTGTTAGACTACTGTAGTCTGTAGTATACATATTCAAGAGACTGGAAGTGGAATCTCGACAATCAGGCTCATTGTGAATTTTACTTTATTAACTCGCAGAGTTCTTAATTTAGAAATTAGAACAGAATCTGAGAAAAGTAATTATGTATTATGTTTACTTTAAACTTTTAAGAGTAAATTATTCAAAACATCATGATTACTTAACCTAGTAGTAAATAGTATTATTAAAAATTATTGTGTCACTATTATAGTATTAGTATTACTGGTATAACTGTTAGCATTATTAATAATAGAATTAAAACGCTAGAAATAATATAATTAAGGAATTTGGCTCAAAAACATGGCATGATTTCTTACTTTGTTAAAAGTTGCACATATAAGAAATGTGAGAACAATAAATAATTGAACTACCAATACTACTAAGCATTATTCAGTTTAGTAATGAATGGTCCCTGATCATTTTCTGTTTAAAACGTAAAGGTGTCATAAGAACTGAAACATCTTATTCTTTTATTACACACAACACCAATGGACTTGTACAGATTAAGTGGAATTGCCAAATTGTACATTTCAAATTCTTCATTAGACCATGAGGTAAGTAAGTTTGATCATGGCTGAATTTGTGTATTTTCAATAATTTGGATGGCATAGACTTGAGGACAAACAGGCCCCTTATTGTCAGGGCTGTAGGAAGTGGTAAGGCCAGTCAGGCCATGGCCTGCCCATTTTTTCATGGCATATGTAGCTACAACTTGAGTATTGAAATTTGCTTCTTTTAATTCAGTACATTATGTTGTGTGTATGCAGTACTTGTAGCTAAAATGGCTCAAGATTCAGTCTTGTACCAGTAAATTTTCAAAATTTTTCTGGCGGAACATGCACCCCCCTAGAAATGCCATGTTTTGTAAACATCGTGTGTCAATGGCCTGACCACTCAAAAATTGCTTCCTATGGCAATGAATGTTATATAAGTTATGGCCTGGTAAGAAACTACTACTGTATTATTAAACTCAAAATCAATCGTATTGTATTTAAGGGAGAATGAGTAGTTTTGGAATTTGGGAATAATCCCACTTGCAGACAAAATCAATTTATGAATCATCATTTTACTTGAATTTTAACTGTAAGAATCTGCTGAAATATTTTGATTGTTTTGGTTTTAAATATATATTTATCTAGTGCTAACACAATAATCTTTTTATTATAAGTGATGTAACTTGATAATATTGCCATTGTTTGTCTCCCCCCCCCCCTTTTTTAAAGCACTGGTGTGAACCCTGCAGTAGATGCATGTTCAGACGGCTTGAATTTATATCTTGAAAATACTTTGTGTACATTACTGCTATTTAGTAAGGGAGGTTTAATTACTTGTCTGACCAGTTTTCACTGCACTTAACTAGATTATAACAACTTTTAGCATGTCAACAATGATAGCCGCAAACATTATAGATCATTTCTGTGACCAAAATTATGCATACAAGAATAACTGCTAGCAGTAGGCCTACTTGCATATTGTGCCAGAGAGGAAAATGAAGATGAAGTGTAGCCCATTGAGTGTGTGTCATGCATCTAATAATGTGCGTCTGGGTCATACAGTCTGTTATCATCACAAAGTAACCCAGTACTTAAGTTGAGCTCTTCAAATTTAAATTGTATCAGTTGTAAGCTCCTAAATTCAATGCAGAATCTGAGATTTCACTACGATGTAAAACTGAAAGTGGCTGAAATATACAAGCTGAACCTTTGGTGGGATGATAGAGGAACTTTTGGAAGGAATCATTTGTGAACTTTGTAATTACTATATAGACATCAGTTGTCTATAAGACCAAAAGCACAACTACAGACAGGACATAAGTGAAATACATGGTTGACAAAATATCTGAAGCTATAGAACAAAAACTTGCATTTTCTTGGTGTCATAACTAAGAATGCTGCAAACATTAAGAGAGCATGGCAGTTACTTCAAGGGAAGTATAATGATTATTCCATATTATCCTACAATTGTATCACTCATAACTTGCATAGGATTGAGTTCATTACATTAAAACATTTTTGTATATGCAAATTAGCTAGTCATTTAACAAACACTGTGTGAGTGTGTGTGTTTAAAGTTGTGGTGGAACTAAATTTACAAGAACTACATTGACATTGTATGGTGTTTCATAAGTAATGTGATGTCACTGAAAATTGACTGCTTTTAGGAAATGCATATAAAAGCTCTTTCTCTTGCAAAATATTCATACATTTATCATAAAGATGGGTTTAGATTGAGAATTAATTTCCAAGACAGGATATTCCTTGTACTTAATGACATTGGAAAACAAAATAATATGAATCAACTTATGGTACCAGGACCATCCAGAAATAGATCTGCATGTCACAACCCAACCATGGTAAGTAAAGTATAGTATCTTGTAATGAGTGAGAATTCACTGACACAAAGGTAAGTGGCAAAAGCCATCCACTTGTCCCAAGCAGTAATAGGCAAAATCACCAAGAAGGTCCCCATCTGGAAAAGTAAAACAAGTTGCATGTACACAAGTTACTTCCATAACATATCCATTCAACTATGCATACTTCTAGAAGATATGGAATGAAACAGGTATTCATGTTATTTCACACAGACATACCAGTGAAGTCACCAGATGCATTGTGTATAGATTTCTTTTGGGTTGAACTGTTGAGACAGGGTACTGGCATACAGTTGCCTTCATATGCTTGATGGATTGTAAATAGCTAGCAATGAGTAATGGTGTGCTTTGGGCATGACAGCTTTGTAGCATAGCCTTTTACAGTAAGAAATTACAATGCAGAGCTCTCATCAAAATGCATGATTGTCTATGGTGACATGTACTGTAATGATGTGGTGAGACTCCAAAATTATTTTAATGTTATACTCATCCTTTGTATAGGTGATTATGAAACAGAAGATGTGTTTACAGTTAAGATGTACTTGTAAAGCTATTATAAAGCACTTCAAAGATTCTCTTCAGTTCTCATAATTATATATTGTCCTACTGCAAAACCATTTCATTTTGACAATTATCAAGCATAACTGCAAAAATAATGGTGTTCTAAGAAAAAAACTTCTAAAAGTTTTTACTCTTTAATATATAAATTCTTCTCTTGACATTTATTTTGAACTGGCAGAGCACCCAGTGTTGCTCAGAAGAAAATGGCTTTAAATATCCTGAGTTGTTTTGATTAGATCAATCATATTAATTGTGAATTTTTGCAAAAAAAAATCAATGTTTTCTTTATATATATTAGGTCGTTAAGAAATTAATGTTGCTTTTTTTAGATGAAAAACCTGAACAACTTGTATATTGAAACAAAACATATATTAGATAGTCTCCATTCTTATTGCTGATGCTTTTCCATCTTACAATGAGATTGTTAATGCCCTGACTAAAGAAATAATTTGGCTTTGAAGCAAAAAACATGATGTCCTCTTTAACGCCTTCCATATTTGCATACGTTTTTCCATTAAGATGGTATTGCAGCGAACAAAAAAGATGGTAATCTGATGATGCCATATCTGGAGAATATGGTGGGTGGGTGGAGGAGAACTTCCCAACCCAAGTCCATAATCTTGTGTTGCATAAAACATTCACATGTGTACACGCACTGTTGGGGAGAAGAACACCTTTCCAATTGATGAGTGAAGGTTGTTTCTGATGAAGGGCTTGATTTTAAACATTCCAGTTGCTGACTATAGATCTCTGCATTGACAGTTCGCTGTGGATTGAGGAGTTTGAAATGAATTACTCCTTTGATGCCCCACCAAATGCAAAGCATCACTTTCTGTGGATGGAGTCTAGGTTTTGTGGTCGGAAGTGGTTTTTGTCTTGAACTGGGCCATTGTTTTTGGTGGTTAATATTCACATAGAGAATCCATTTTTCATCGCCAGTGACAATTCTGTCCAAAAATGGTTCACGTGCATTACGCTCCGAAAGCAACGTTCACGTGTTAGAAACTGTGATCATCGGAGAGTTGGTGAGGCAACCAAATACTTTCTTTATGGAGTTTCTCCATATTCCTTAGATGTTTACGTATTGTTTCATGAGAAACATGCAATTTCAGGGCCATTTCATGAGTGTATTGCTTTTGGTTAGACTCAACAAATGTTCCAAAACGTAAATTATTTTCTTGATGACCTAATATAAGTCATTGAAGTATTGTGTTTTAAGTTTTGGTCTCATTAACTTAGGAAAGACATTGAATTACTAGAAAGGGGTTCAGAGAAAAACTAGTAAGATTATATCTGGAATGGGAAGGTTGTCATATGATGACTGGTTAAGATCTCTGAAATTGTTTTCTCATGGGGAAAATGTTAGAGAGATATTCAATTGAGTTGTTTAAGGTTGTTAAGTTAATGTATAGTGTTGATGTATCTTTTTTTTTTTTCATACTGAATGGTGGGACTAGGGGGACTCAAATTTTGAGCTAAGACAGCATTATTTTTCTAAAGGTGATTGGATTTTGGAATGAGTTGCCCTCAGATGTGGTGAATGCATTTAATTTAAGGGAAGGCTTAATAAATATTTAATAGTTCTCATATTAGAGTTTTGTGGATAGGATGGCCTAGGTGGACCAAAAGATCTCTTGTTAAATTATATATATATATATATATATTTGGGTGCATTGAATTTACACAGTCAAAAATTTTATTTTGTAATTGCAAGTTGGCAGGGTGTGCAATAGTTGCCTTTTATTATAAGAATTTATGCCACAACTGCTAACCCATCCAAGAAACTTAGTTTGTTAGTGAGATATGTAATTGAAGTGTATGCAACAGTTTGGTTTAATATCAAGAAAAATCCGTCATGCAGCCATGGCTCACTGCACCTTTTTCTATTTGTAAGAAAATCATGTTTTTTCCCTGAATCAGAGAAATATGTGGTGGATAGAGTAATTCAGAGAAATGCATATTTTGCCCACCCAGAAAATTTGCTGCTTGCAATGCTTGGAGATGATTCTAAGGCTATCAGACAACTTGCTCTTCATGAAATATTAGCTGCTTGATGTACCTCAAATTCTAGCACAATGAGACAGTTTGTGGTTCCAAATATTAGTGCAACATTACACTGATCTAATAATGTGGACTGAGAGTAGAGCCACCACTTTAAAAAAAGATGAAACGCCAGTTTTCAAGTTCAGCATGCTGTGTCACACACAAACAGTTGAAAGGCATGTTAAAATAGTAACAGAAGCTTCAGTAGCTGTTTGTGGCTATCAGCATGCCGTGTCACACACAAACAGTTGAAAGGCATGTTAAAATAGTAACAGAAGCTTCAGTAGCTGTTTGTGGCTATCACAGAAGAAAAGGATTCATTAAATTAAAACTTCAATCTCTATCAAAATCATGAAAAAACTTCGTATTAAGAAACAATACATAATCCAGTAATTCTATTGCCCATTGGAAGAGTGGGCATGGGTGGAACTTGACATCCAACTACCTCCTCATGGTGAGTTCTGGGTAATTTAGGATATAAAACTTCTAAATTACCGAAACATTGCCTATCCAAAGTTATGATACTTTGATTTCTCATATACTTTGATTATGGATATTTTAAGAATAAAAACCCCACTCGTGGCAGTACAAGATATAATTTTAGAAGCCTGAAACTTACCCATATAATTACACCAATCACATACCCTGCTGATAATGATAAAGAAATTTATATTTTTGATGCACCCAAATATATAAAGAAGTCATGCTGTATGTCACTCAAACAGGGTTGAATAGAATAGTTTGGCAACTAGTAAATTAAATTACATATGTTTAGAACTCTGCTGAAAATTGAACCTGAATTTAATGTATTATTTCAGGTTCATTGAATGCAAAAAGTTCAAAAAAAGCTACAATTGTTACACATTTTTGAAAATGTAATTTACATATTTCAATGCACATTACTAAAACACTTGGATGCTGTAGATAATAAGCAGTAGGAAACTGTACTGTAGCTTAGTAGGAGGTTGTATATTCACTGAAACTTGCAGAATGCAGTCACCCTATTGTCATTTTTTTTATGCATTTAGCTTCCATTTTTTTTCGTATTCCTTTAAGTACAGGGGCGTATAGTATAAAGTTAAAGCTTTAAGTCATGTAAGAATGGTCCTATCAGTCATGCTATCGAAAATTAGTGTTATCTGTCTATCTATGTACATCTTAATTTCATAATAGTAAATCTGATTGATTTTGATTGGCTGCTTAGTGATGTAATTTTACTGTTTTGGTCACACATTTATATTAAATGTATACTATCTGAATATTACTGGTACAATTAATATTAACTATTCATTGCAGTATGTTCAAATGGTATGCAAAGAATAACTTACATTAAATAGAATTGGCCTGGCATGGCCAGGTAGTTAGTGCTTGACTCCCAATTTGATGGTCGTGGGTTTGAATCCCCATCCCACCAAACATTCTAACCCTTTCAGCTGTTGGGGCATTTTAATGTGACGGTCAATCCCACTATTCGTTGGTAAAAGAGTAGCCCAAGAGTTGGTGGTGGGTGGTGATGACTAGCTGCCTTCCCTCTAGTCTTTTACTGCTAAATTAGGGATGGCTAGTGCTGATAGCCCTCATGTAGCTTTGAGGGAAATTCAAAAAACAAACAAATTAATAAAATTTGAGTTAACTGTTTACAAGTGTAGTCTTGGAGATCAACATCACAAGATTTAATGTTAACCTTGTGTATATGCGTAATGTATACTAACATAATATTATCTCTTATCTTCAATTTTCAGTTGAAGAAGATACAGCAGCACAAGAAATGCATGCAGTCAGGCAAACTATAGATCCTACAGAAAATATCTTCATTGTGAAAAGGGAAGAACTGAACAAAAATGAAGAATATTTGTCTGAATCTGCTGATGAGAACTTTGTTAAATCTGCTCGCAAATGTCGCCGCAGAAGGAAAAAGAAACCACGTGTACAAATAAGACCAATAGATGTCCCAAAGGCTCCAGAAAACTCTACTCAATTTATCATTGATGACCATGAAGACTGTAATTTGTACAAAAGTTTTGAAAATCCTGGTAATGTCTTGAATGAAAGTTCAGAACAAGACACAGTTGGGGGTTCAGCATCAGACAGTTGGATTAATGTCAGACATGCTGCTTTTCATGACATTGACTATGAATATGAATTACCAGATGACTTGGATCACACTGCATTTTACGAGGAAGATTTTGAAAATGCCTATGCAAAAATTCGTGTTGAGAATCTTCTACTGATGACTGAAGAAGAATTGGCAGAAAGATGTGCTGAGTATGAAGCTCAGAAGCTTGCTTTGGAAAAACAGCTTTCACAGTATGATCCCGAGCTTTGTCTGGAACAGCTGCAACAGAAACTATTGATGCTACAGGAAGAAAATGAAAAGCTCAAAAAATACAATAGGTCTTTAAAGCAATATTTATATTCCCAAATAGATGAATTATCTGATGAATATTCAGAAACTGATGTTGATGATGGCAGTCTTTCAGATGATGAGTCATCCCCTGATAATGATGGTGACAGTAGTGGATCTACATGTATTTTAAAAGATGGAGAATCTTCAGGTTGCTCTGAAGAAAAGGAATCATTGTTCCCAGAGAACTTAGAAAATGATAATTTTCTGACTAGTAAGAACAGAGCTGAATCCTCTTCACACAGAAATAGGAAATGTCCTTTAAAAATGGAAAATGTTGCAACTTGTGATGATGCAAGTTCTTTTCCTTCACTTCCAGACTATGATTTATCAAAAACGGAAGTAACATGTTTGGGTTCTCCTCTTAAACTTCAAGACTTTAACCCTATTACACCTACAAGCAGTCCTAGACAAAATGAGGAAAAGTTTGTATGTACTGAAACAATATGCAATAATAATGTAACTGCTGTTAGGTATCATGCGGATGATATAGTATCAAGTGACACTTTTCTTAATGGTAGACCCAAGACTTCAGTAGACTCAAAAAATGACATTTCAAATGAACTGAACAATGTGGTAACTGTGACTGAAGAGTTTGAAGAAGACAGAAAGAAACAATGTGGTTAGAACTAGTTTGTTACATTCATTCTTTGGCTGTTGAAACTATAATTTGGGAATACAACTAGTCAAGTGTCATTTGTTATATATTTTAACTGTAATGTGTGCATGTCTTATTCAGTAGTATGTAAATTTTTAGTTATTAATTTACAATAAAATTAGTATTTGATTATATTGTGTATCTAAAAAGTGTATTCAACTTTTAAATGATTTTTGTGGGCAAAAAAAATTGGAGAACATTAATCAACTTTAATCTGGTTAACTCTTCTTTTTATGTGCAGTACCAGTTGCAGGTGGCTGGCAATGGGGATGGTCCGTGAAATAGTATAATTTTGACTTTAATTATATTCCACTACATTCAAAATAATTTTTCTAATACTGGTCTCATTTGTTGTTTAACAAGATATGAATATGTTTAATTCTAGCCTCACTGAAGAAGACTTTTTATATATATATATATATGTTTAACTATGTTAAAGGTTGATTTTTACTATATTATTAGAGAAAGAACATTTAAATAACTTTTCTGCAGTTAAGTAAAATTAGCAGTATGTGTCTCTTAAATGATAATTAACTTGGGATTATTTACCACACTTTTAATATGAAAGTTATTGTTTAACAGTGTATTCTTAATATAAGTGTGCAGATATGTAAAAAGTAGGTGCAGATTAGATTTAAAAGGAATGAGATTTTGGGATTTCTTCATGTAGAATCTTGGGAGGGAGAAGGCATTTGCTCTATGTTAACCATCACAAGAGCTGTGTGCAATAAAATTTGTAAAATCTAAACAGCCACACTTGACAACTTATGCAGGTAAGTATTTGTATACAGTATGAAAATAATTAACCAAACCTCCATTACCACCATCCCAATGAAGAAATGAAATGTATGTGGTATGAGCTTAACAAACTTTCTTAGATATCTCGTTTCATTTTTGGCTTTTAAATATTTTTACTTTTATCTACATTTGACACTATATGACAATGTCTAGGGACAACAAGGGATCTGTTGGTCAATCTTGGCTGTCTCATCCTCTAAACTAAACTATTGTAAGTTTTAAAAAATAACTTAAAGCCAGCCCTTATCATTCATATGGCTGTCAAGCTTTATCTTAAACTCGCTTAAATTTACTGCCTCCGCAACATCTGAAAGCAACCCATTCCAGAGGCCATCCGACCTGTTAGAAAAATAAAACTGTCTTAACTGAAGACAACTCCTACCTTGACAACATTTATATTTGTCACCTAGTCCAACTATTCTCACTGTTAAATATGAAAAAAATCAACACTATCAATTCCCTTTACAATCTTAAAGACCTCAATCAGTTCCCTCTAAACTCTTCTTTTTTTCAAGAGAAAAGAGTTTAAAAGATCTTAATCTCTCCTCATATGACAAACCCTCCATCCCAGGCACCATTCTAGTAATTCTTCTCTGAACCTTTTCCAAGGTAAGAAGCCCAAGACTGAACACAAAACTCCATCCAAATTATAATAACCCACATGTATCATCTTGCACGTATTATTATTATTAAAACCCATCTGCCATTTGTTCACCCAACTCACTAAATGATCTAAATCCTTTTGTAAAACAGCAATATCCTCTTCACAACTAGCAACACCCAAGACCTTAATATCATCAGAAAATGTAAGTAATTTATTGATCATTCCTTCATCTCTGTCATTGATGTAAACCAAAAAGAGCAAAGGTCCTAAGACTGAGCCCTGGAGTACCCCACATGTGACATTAATCCAGTTTGACTGAACTCCATTTGTAACAACCCTCTGCTTTCTTCCATGCATTAGTAAAAATTGTAATTTAATAACCCAGCCTTCTCTTACTCATCAGATACAAGCCTTTCTTTATCCATCAAGTGTCCTATCCCCCATTCTTACATTTTGTTTATGCTTAATTTATATAAAGAAATTCTTACTGTTAATTTTTACATTTTCAGCCAACCTTTTTTTTTTTCATACATCCTTCTTGATGCCATAATTTCCTGTTTGACCAATTTTCTTGATCTTCTATAATCTTCCAAATCTGACGACATACTCTACTGTCATACCAGTAAATTTATTTCTTAAACTTGTGAAGCTTTTCTTTAATTTTATCTCTCATGCCCTTTGTGAGCCAAACTGTTTATTATTATTATTTGCAGCCACCCTTTTCTTTCTATAAGGAATATGTTTATCTTGAATATTTAAAAATTTGTTCTTAGTTTTTCACATTTGATCAGTGTCTCCAAATGAATTAGCTGCCCAATTCACAACAGATAATTCTTGTGGCATCTCTTCAAAATTTGCTTTTTTGAAATTTGTAACCAAAATATCGTTATTACTGATATCCATATGCAGCAAAACATCAAAAACTCTAATAGAGCAATGATCGCTTGTACCCAGATGTTCCCTAATTTCCACCCTCTGGAAGATGAGAAACATGACTCTTTCTTTATTCATTCAGCATATGTATATGAATTATTTATTCACTTCACAATTAGCAATGTTTTGCCCACCTGGAAAAATTTCTACCGACGCCCATGAAAGTGTTTTTTCTTTTGATTAGTTTTATAATATTTTCCTTTTCATTGATTATTCTTTATTGTTAATGTTCTTAAAAGCTTTTTTTTTAACTGAGGCGAAACTAAACGTTGTAGGAAATGAACATAAGGACAATGCACAAAAACGTTTGTTTCAAGTGAAAAGGAGAACTGTATTGCAGGTTTTTACAATTCAAATGCTTGAACATTGGCGTGGTTCATTATTAAAACGTCATACCAGCATTTCTGTGTAAATTTAGCTATAGCTATTAGTGTCTCCAGGCGCAAGTCTGGGGCCTTATAACGCTAAACGTCGGGATTCGAATCAGTAGTTGTCAGAATACAGTGCTTCGTGCTTAACCAACAAACCAACAGTATAATTTCTTAAACTTTAGTTACTCGGATTTTTTGTAGCTTTATCTTGTAATCTGTATCGAAGCATCAGCAGATTCAAAGAATAGTAACTGATGATCGCATAGGTTATAGCCATGACAATGACTTATGTCATATAACTTTTGTTAACGAATTTAGTAGAAATTAAGAACTTTAGTGTTTTTTTTTAAATCTCATCTTTTGTGAAAGGGTTAAAGAACGAACAAGGTAACTGTAGCCCTGTAGTTAGCGTGATGGTCTGTGAGATGAGGTTCCATGATTCGCGTTCCGTTACCGCCAAAAAAACGCGCTGCGCACTTTGGGGCCATAAGTACATTGTAAGAGTGACAGTCAAATCTCACTATTCGATCTATCAAGACTTGATAATGTATCGTCGGTGTTAGTCTTCCTTATAGAATATCACTCCATAATTGGGGTGGCTAGCTTCGCACGAAATCAAACGAAGGAACCATAGTGAATTTGTTAACGGTACAAAACATTATCACAAACTACAAAATAAAAGTATTGAGTTGTACAATGTACTAACATTTTGTATGTGAACTATCCTCTTAGACGGACCATTACACCTTGTTTTCAGGTTGCCATACAGTTTTAAATGTCATTTATTACTCCCCAAACTTCAACTGAATTGTTTGATTGCTTTTTATTATCTCGGGTTTTATATAATTAAGCCCTACAGCCTCAGAAATGTTGGTATTAGGATTTTATGCAGGCTAAGCCTAGTTTCGTCAAGATTGTTTCATCACGTAGGATCATTGTATTGCTGGCAGATGAATCCCCGTCTGATATATCAAATTCCTAAGGGACTAGTATGAATGATCAGAATTCTCATTTACTTGTCAACAGTCAGGTGCCATTGTGTGTGAATCTGACATCGTTGACTGAGATACAGCCCTAAACTTGTACTGATCCTCTAACATTTTTATTGTACATTGACTATACAATAGTTTTCATGTCTGCCATTAAACAAACCGTCGTTGATCGTTTCTAACTAATTTGAACTTGATTTTATCTTTAAAAGGATATGTTTTCAGCTTTATTTCTCATTCTACTCTCTGTGTTATGATGGCCATTTCAATCCGTTGGCTTGGTTACCTCTTATCAGCAGCAGTTTTCAAGTAGTTTCATATCCATGGAGACCACTTCCTGCTGTTTGAAACCGTCGGTACCTGGTGAAACTTCATAATTACAGAATTGAGGAAAAACAAGACAATTGTACCGTACTTGATGACGCATTTACTGGCGAAACCATGGTCGTGAATAAATAATGTATTTGTGTAAGGTACAGTTGTCTTGATTTTCCTAAATACCGTATCTTGCTGTTCTCGTATAACGTAGAATAGTTGTATTTTCAACGAGGTCGTTGACAAGATGGTTACACTTGATCGTTGTCTATCTCGTAAACAACATATTCTCAGATACTTAACATTATTTCTGGAAAGTTTACTTTTCTACGTCATGTATATTATTAACAGTGCAGTACTAGTTTAACGTAACCTCAAAATAATTTTTCATACAGATTCTACTCAAACGTGGAATCTTGTCGAAATCTGGCTGGTCAGTTTCAGCCAAAACTTATTTCTACACGCTTGTCTTGTGGTTTTTCAGTCCTGGAAGTCATGACTGTATTAACACTGCTGCTATTACTGGGCATAGTATGACTGCCAGTACTTTTATGGGCTGGTGTGATATTTCTTGATTGGATGAATTAATCAGTCACAGTGTAAACTATCAACACATTACTGTGTGAATTGATTCCACACAATAAAAGGGTAAAATTCTCGTAGTATTTGAATTTATCTTTTTTTTTTCTTCGTGATTATTTTCAGTACTATACGTATAAATATGATATCATTAACTTCGCTAAAGGCCAAAAGGAAGAGATTGTTTTAAAATGTATATAACCTCAAATTAATGAAGATAAAGTAAATGCAAAATCTAGAATAATTTATGTATATGATTAATAAGAAATATCTTAACACGAGAAAGTTTTGTAGAAAATAACAATACATTTTAAATATTCAGATTTTTAAAGTAATATTGATCAGTGATATTTTAGAAACTGGTGAACAAAATTAAAATTTTAGACCTAAAAATGGAAGTAAATGTACTAATGTTGATATTATTTAGACGAATTTTTATTAATAATAATAATAAAGTCGAGCACTTTCAGTTGGCGTAATTGCGTTGTCATTTCATATGTGGCAGCACAGTCGTTTGCTTGGATGAAAAGTAAATACCAACGT